CCCCCCCCCCCCCCCAAAAAGAGCCCTGCCAGAATTGGTTGAGCAAAAAAACCTGCAAAATAGTCTCTTTTTAAGAGGGGGCGGGGCAATGCTGCGTTCTCACCGAACCCTGGGGTTCCACGGAGCACCAATTGGGAAACACTGCTCAAGAGGAAGGCAGGAAGTGCTAACGAGGCTGATTCAGCCAGGGTGGATGTGGCCGACTCCTAACAGTTGAGGGAGTGAAGACCAGGAGAGGGAAAGTTGCTTTTGGAGTGAGCCAGCCAGCCCCAGCCCCTGTTCAAACCCAGATGAATAGTGACCAGTTTGCAGCGTTGCAGTTTCTCGTTGACATAGGATCCCAGGGCTGGAAGAGACCTCAGGAGTCATCGAGTCCAACCCCCGGCCCAGAGCAGGACCAACCCCAACTCAATCATCCCAGCCAGGACTTAAAAACCTCTAGGGCAGCCGGCTGTGGCTCTTCTCCTCCCCCTCCCTCCCCATGGCTTGTGAAGCTGCCCCTGCGCATGGCTCCCTGTGCTGTCTGGTGTGGCCATTCAAAGTGGCATCTTCAAGATGGTGGCAGCCAGCGGGAGCCTGATGTGGCCAAAAAGCCTGTAATCGTGTTTCTTAAAGGGGTAACCTCCCTCAACAATTTTTCCTCGACAATTTTTTTTTTTTCCTCGACAGTTTTTCCTCCCCGGCTCTTTGTGCTATACACACAACTATTTTGGCTCTTTGCCTGTAACGGGTTGGCCACCCCCGCTCTAGGGAACCCGTCCCAGTGCTTCCCCACCCTCCTAGGGAAATAGTTTTTTCTAATATCCAACCTGGACCTCCCCCACTGTAATTTGAGAGGGGTGTGTGTGTGTAAGCACGGCCACTTTTGAGTCTCTTATTGAGTGTCCCAGGAGCACTGGTTCTCCACTGGAGAAGGTGTACGCCTGCCTCTGTGACTTCCACTCCATGCGTCTGATGCAGCGAGTCTTTGCCCACGAAAGCTTGTCCCCAAATAGACCTGTGCGTCTCCACAGTGCCACGGGACTCCTCGTTGCTTTTGCAGCTGCAGACCAACATGAGACCCCCTCAGCGACTCGCAGCAGCAGAGGCACCTGGGGCTGCCTGGCTGCAGACCCGGGAAGAAAAGAGCTGCAGGCAGGAGGCCGCCTTGGTAGCTCTCGGGGCTAGAAATGTGTAAATTCTGTAGCTGCTGCTGGCTCCAGCCGCTTGCTGGGGTAAAGCTGCCACTTTGCCCTGGGGATTGAAATCTTTGGAGCTCTATGCTGCCCCGGGAGCCGGGGGTCTCTGGCTGCCAAGGAAGGTCCCTGGTTAAGGGTGTCTGAAAGCCCCACGTGGCAATGCCCCTGTGCTCCGGTCGCCCTCGCTGCCTCCGGGCCCGCTCACCCCGTCTGTTCTCTCGCCAGCAATGCGGGGTGATCTCCGAACACACCAAGAAGATGTGCACCAGGTGAGAGCGTGGCCCCAGGGCTCTGGGCCTTTCCCAAAGGGTGAGCTCAGGCCTCGCCGCAGCCTTGGACTGTGGGGGGGAGGGGGCGGGTCTGGATGTCCTCTCCTGTCCTAGGAGCAGCTGTGGCTCAGTTCCCGTGGGTAGCCCCCTCCCATCAGCAAGACTCCCCGCCCAGGGAGCAAGGGCAGGGCTGGAAAGTGCAGGGAGGGGGGGACAAGCCACGGCGCGCTCTGGGCCTCACCTCCTGTCCCCCCGCAGGTCGCTGCGCTGCCCCCAGCACACCGACGAGCAGCGGAGGTCAGTCAGGGTCTACCTCCTTGGACCCTCCGCGTAAGTGCGATGGGACCCGGCGCGCCCAGGGGAGAGGGACGGGCTCCTGGGCTTTCTGCTGCCAGGCCCTGGTGTGAGATCTCTGGCAAGAGCAGCCGCAGCTTCACCAGAGGAGCCCTTGTGCAACCCCAGGTGTAGGAGCGCCGGGCGGGTGGCCCCGGGGAACGGGTCTCGCTCGCGTTGGAGGCAGGTGACAGAGGTGGGCTGGCAGCCCGGGCAGGTCCACAGAGGGGAGAGGCCCCAGAGACTGGCTCGGGGTGGGGGGGGGAAGGGA